AGCTCTTAACCAACTGAGCCACTCGGCCGGCCCTTGTTTATCTTTTGTTGATCTTCAAAAGTAACGCTGACATCTCCTGCAGCCGCCTTCTCCATGGTGGCTGCCATCTTCTTTGCTTGTTTTTTAAACTGCTGTGTAGTATTCCACAGGATGGGTATACTCTAATTAATCTGACTGCTTCCTATTAATGGATATGTGTGTAGGCAAATGCATAGAAATGCATGGGCATCAAACTGTGAGCAGTGGTTGTTTCTGGGAAATAGAGTGAGATTCGATGAGGAGGAATGGTTCAAGAGGATTTTGATGTTTATTTCTGTATGTACTTATTTGGAACTTTTAAAACAAGAATGTATTCATACTTTAATTGTGAAATTAAGTTTTTGACAGTAGGACTTGAGGAACTCAGTCAGGTTAAAATAATATAACCAACAAGCACAAAATACCAAGCCTTCCTCTCTCTTGTCTCTCATTTCCCCGTGAGCTTTCCTTGGCCATTCAGTGTGTGTGAGACAAGTGGAGCCTGATGGCTCTAGCAACTGTCTTCACTTCTTGAATCTGCAGCAAGAATCCTTGTAACAGCTACTCTGAAAATAGGATTTTCACAATTCTATTGAGTTAAGAAAACTCTATAAAGAGGCATTGAGATAATTATAAAATATAATTATAAATATGATATGATGTAATGTAGTAAATGAGCTAACTGTGAAGTGAGGCACCATATGTGAAACCAGGATAGGAGAATGGTCCTAGCTGCTCCCCAGTCTCACACCTTGCGTCTCTGGCTGCTATGTTATGAGTATTTTCACTTGAGAGGTGATGGGAGAGAAGTGGGAGATTATCAAATTCCTGGACAGTTAATTTTCCATGGACTATTTACTTTTTGGATTAGTCCTAACACTTTTTAAATGCCAAAGGGGTTTTCCCCAACTGTTAAGCATTCTTCTGAGTCATCATATTCAATTGGTAGGAGTTCAAGGAATGCAAATTCATTTCCTATTAACCTAAACAAACACCATTAGAAAGGAAAATCCCTCGAGGCAAAGAACACCTATCAAAGACAAATTTGAATTACCTTTGATCATTGTAATCAGGGAAATGAGGAACCAATGTAATTGTCTTTTTAATCGCTAAAGAAAAATGTTTTCTTTTATAGATTTCTTCAGCATTTTATAATCCTAATGTTCTTTTATATTCGTTTTAAGTCATTCCTTCAATCTGAGCCCAACGAAAGTAGATGAGCCAATCTCAATCATTCTCAATGTATTTCCCATCCCTGTCAATGTACAAACATAATTTTATGTTTTTTAATTTAATTGTTTGCATATATATTCATTTTACATCGATTCAACCCACATTCTTATTATTTTTTATTTCACTATAATAGTTTATAATAATAGCTGCCATGTCTATAATAAGCCATGCGCTCTATTAGGAATTTTATACATATATTATATTTACTCCTCACAACAATCCTACAATGTAGGTATAATCATTTTTAATGTATAAATGAGGAAATTAAGTCTGAAAGAGGTTGTTAGTGGTGGAGCTGGGATGTAGTAATTTATTTCTAATGAGGATTAGAAATAATAGGATATTCTAAGTAAGATTCCCAATGGCCTATCTCATTCCCAAGTCTATCATCAACATAAATAATGCCACACTTTCTTTTATCGTGTTGATATATTAGTTTGCTTAGCTGATCCCCTACTGTTAGGCATTTTGGGTTATTTCTGATTTCTTACAGTGATATTAATACCTCAGGAAAAAAATTTTTTTTAACTATAATCATCCTGGGTCCCTGTGTAGCTCAGTTTCTACACAGCAATGCCTAAAAATAATTTTAAAAATAAATTTCAATTTTCATTGTCCCTCAAAGAAAAATCACAGAGTGTCCAGTTCAAAATTGTTAGTATTTCCCAGATCCCCTTCCTTCATTTCTCGGTTCTCTTGAAGTCTAACTGCCATCAAGGCAATGGCAGTCTGAACTCCCAAACTCCCAACAAGCCAAAACCCCACATATCTTCTGTGTGGCCCTTTATTTTATAGATCAATGTATCTGCTTGGGCCTGGTCTTTCTCCTGGCCCTAGTCATTCTGTTCTGGCTTCTATTCTATTCTGTTCTGTTCTATTCATTTTAATAATCCATCCCTAAAGGAGAGATGTCACCTTCTGTGGGAATTGAAGATAATAGATTGTACAGAAACAGGATAGGAGAAAACAGGAAACATTTATGTATGAATAATCATTTTCATTTAATTTGTAAATGAAAGGTTTTTTGTGTTTTCATTCATTTTAGTTTTTTTCTCCTTCTTGAATTATAGCCTCCCAAGTGAGATTCCCGGGTCATTGAATAGATCTATAATAGTTTTAATCAAGAAGTATTCCTACTGGGCCGACCGAGTGGCGCAATGGTTAAGAACTGGCTTGGGACGCCAGAGGGCCCCGGTTCAGATCCCACATATGAGGGCCAGTGACACTGCCCTCCACAGCTAAAAAGTGCTGAACAACAGCTCAACCTGGAGCTGGGCTGCCATGAGTTGCCGGCGACTGTGTAGGCTGCAGCCCCTGTGGCAGTGGGTTGCCACGGGCTACCGTATGTAGCCAGCAGCCAGCGTGAGCGGCCAGCAGCCACAGTGAGCGGCCGTCCAGAAGCCGGCGACTGATCTGCCTCACCAGAGAAGAGTGCAATGATGATACCAACTTGGGCCAGTGAAGCAACGTCCTCCACAACTAGACTGAAGAACAAAACAACAGCAACTTGTCTGTTCCCCTTCCCCAATTCCCCAGTGCTGTTCCCATCCCCCCAATTCCCCAATAATCAAATTTAAAGTATTCCTACTAATTAAAAAAATACATTATATGACTATTTGCTTTATATGCCTTTTTAGGTAGTCAGAGTATTTTATGATTATAATAAAGTTCATTGTAGAACTCTGATTACTTTATAATAACTGTAATAAATATCTACATGTACAATGCATTGTATACAAAACACAAGTAGCCCCAAATTTGCCTATGTTCTCAATGGGCTAAAGAAGAAAAGAGAGGTTTAGACTCCAGTAAAGTGGCTTATTAAGCTGAAAGGTGTTCCCATATAGCCTTTCTTTGGGTTTTGGAGAGCCCTCAAGTTCTTATCTTTAATTATTCGCTGATCTTGGGGCTGGTTTAAGATTATCCCTGGGGAAAATTGTGAAGTAATCAAAGGTTTTGTTTGGCATGCCCCAGATTACTTTGACATCTACTTCCTGTCTCTAGCACTCTTTTTTTCCCAGGTCCTCCTATTGACATTTCCTCTCCAATCACATCAGTCATTTACACCGTAGTGGAACTCTGACCCAATATGCTCCCTTTCTCAGGAATATTTGCATGTTATACCTTCTTTCCAACTGTGAATGCAAGGTTTGCTCCTGGTCCTGGAGTTTGGCACTGATGAGCTAATATAGAAACTCTAGAGGAAGGGTAGCTGCCCAGATGCTATCTCTTGAAATTATATTTTGTAATTATGTATTTTATCAGTTTAAGGATATGGCCAGCTCCCAATTTACAGTGCTTATGTAACTGCAAGTTCTGAGGTCAAGTGCACTTTTGAGTACACACTCAGGTCTTGCACAGGATCATGAATATAAATGTGATAAAAGACAAGGAAGTAAATGTGGAATTACTACATATGGAATTTACTAATTAGGGAAAGAAATATGTGCTGTTTATTAGGAATAAATTACTAAACTCACTTTCTATGCCATTCTTATATCTTTCTCATAATGAATCTCTGGTATGAGACTAAACCTAACTTTTTATTTTCTTCTGTCTTTTGTCCTTTTTTTTCCCCCAGTTTGACAAATGGACAGACTCTCAAAGGAGAAGAATTCTGACAGGCTTGTTAGAACGCTGCTCCCTGTCACAGCAAAAGTTCTGCTGTCGAAAGCTGCAGGAAAAAATTCCAGCAGAAGCTCTGGATTTTACGACCAAACTTCCAAGGGTGTTATCCTTATACATCTTTTCTTTCCTGGACCCTCGAAGCCTTTGTCGTTGTGCACAGGTAAAGCAAAGAAGCAATTTAGGGCATTTTCTAAGGACAGCCTAGAAAACTCTGAAACTTGAGGGGGGAAAAATTCACGTACAGCAGGTTCTCAAATAACGTCATTTTGTTTAACTTAATTTCGTTATATCATTGATGAGATGCCGTAGGAAATTAACTCTTGTTTGTGTCAATTAGCCTATGGTAAAACTGGTTTCATTGTACCTTATTTCACTTAAAGTTGCAGAACCTATCGACAATGTTAAATGAAGGCTCACTGTACACAAAACCAAGAAAGAGATTAGATGGTCAGTATGTTTAGCCTGTAGAATTTGGATTAACCCCCATCTCCTTGGTGTCTAACTTTGTATTTAGTGCACAAAAGGGAGGAAAAAGTATAAGACATCATTAATGTCCACAAAAAAAAAAAGGATTAGCTCGTTGGAGGGACAAACACACATAGAAAAAATGGTTCATTAGCAGGATAGTCTTATATTGCACAGCATGTGACTACTATTGTATACAATCCTAAATTGTGTAGTGCAGGCCACTTATAAATAGAAAAGCTAAAAATAAAGTGCTAATGAGATATGGACATAAGAATATGAAACTGAAAGAGTTCAGAGTGAGCAGACATGCTCACAGAGGCCTTGGAAAAGGAACTGACCATTATTTTCTTATAAGTAATTCCATGGTGTATTAAACTATAGTTAAATTACCTAAGATATAAAACTGGTAGTCATTTTGTTGAATATTTTCATACAGTCTACTAGTAACACCAGAAATTACCTGTTAATTATGTATTTACATATGTGTAACATATTAGCTTCAGTTTTTAAAATTAAGAAGATGAATTTGGGCCGGCTGAGTGGCACGGTGGTTAAGAGCTGGCTTGGGATGCCAGAGGGCCCCAGTTCGGATCCCACATATGAGGGCCAGTGACACTGCCCTCTACAGCTAAAATGCTGAACAACAGCTCAACCTGGAGCTGGGCTGCCGTGAGTCGGTGACAGTGTAGTCTGCAGCCCCTGCTGCAGTGCGTTGTCATGGGCTACCATGTGAAGCTAGCAGCCAGTGTGAGCGGCCAGCAGCTGCTGTGAGTGGCCATCCAGAAGACGGCAACTGATCTCCCTTGCCCAGGAAGAGCTCAATGATTGTGCCAACTTGGGCCAGTGAAGCAACGTCCTCCACAAATAGACTGAAGAACAAAAGGACAGCAACTTTTCTGTTCCCCTTCCCCCGATTCCCCAGCACTGTTCCCATCCCCGCAATTCCTCAATAAAAATCTTAAAAAAAAAAAAGAAATACAATTTACAATCTTGCTTTATTCATTTTATATATATATATAATATTTGTTATATATTTTATAAATAAGTATAAAGAAAGCTAGATTTTCAATTGTGACTATAAAACTTAAAATTGCTCTGTAGAAAAGAACAACACAAATGTATGTTGGGAGTTAATCCAAATTATACAGACTAAACATACTGACCATCTCATTTAAACAGGGAAAACACATATTGCCAACAAAGGACTAATATCCTTATTTTTTAGAGAATTCCTATAAATCTATATTAAGAAGAAGAAAAAAAAAGCCAACAACCCAGCAGAAAAATGAGCACAGGAAATGAACAAGTGGTTCACAGAAAGAAATGTAGATGTATCTAAAATATGTAAGATACTTAACCTCATTAGGTCATGTCATCGTTCATGATTCAGGTTAATATATATATATTTTTTAAGCTGAGCCATCCTGCCATCTGTTGGCAGCTCAGCGGCTGCTCATCTCGGGCCAGGCATCGAACCGCTGTTGCTCAGAGCTCAAACTCTTGAGCGAGCTCTTAACCAACTGAGCCACTCGGCCGGCCCTAGGTTAATATATTTTTTAATGATAACATTCTGTATTGGTGAGGGCATGAGGAAACAAGAATTTTCATATATTGTTGGTAGACAAATGGGTACAATCGTCATGGAGAACATTTTCAGAATATTAAATATTTAAATAAAGATTCCGTTTGACCTTGGAATTTGACGAGTATACTTCAACATATGCAACATTATGTCTGTACAAGAGTAATGTAACATTAGTTGTAATAGCAAAAGTTTGGAAACAATGGAAATGTCCACCTTTAGAGGACTGGTTGAATAAATTGCAGCAATCCCTAAGATCATCAGTTTAAAAAAGCAAAGGTACAGAACTGTCCTACCATTTTTGAAGATAAAGAATACATACACATTTGTTAATATAGGTCTAGAATATTTCTGGACTGACACACGAGAAGCATGTAACAGTGGTTACACCCAAGGGAAGGAAATGAGTGACTAGAGGACTGGAATGAGAGAGAGACTTCCTTTTTACCGTGTGCCCCTTTTTATCTTTAAATTTAGTATTGATGTACATATATTACTTATTCCAAAACTGAAACAATCTTTTAAAAAGAGCATAGCAGGGCCAGCCGAGTGGCATGTTGGTTAAGAGCTGGCTTGGGACACCAGCTCTGAGTAGCAGGGCCCCAGTTCGGATCCCACATGAGGGCCAGTGACACTGCGTCCTCTACAGCTAAGGTGGTGAACGACAGCTCAACCTGGAGCTGGGCTTCCGTGAGTCACCAGTGACAGCGTAGGCTGCAGTGGGGCTGCAGTGTGCTGCCATAAGCTACCGTGAGTGGCCAGCAGCCAGCATGAGGGGCCGGCAGCCACCGTGAGCGGCCGTCCAGAGGCCGGCAGCCAATCTGCCTCACCCAGGAAGAGTGCAATGATAATACCAACATGGGCCAGTAAAGCGACATCCTCCACAACTAGACTGAAGAACAAAAGGACAGCAACTTGTCTGTTGCCCTTCCCTGATTCCCCAACGCTGTTCCCCTCCCCCAATTCCCCAACTAAAAAAAATAAAATAAAAGACAGAAAGGAAAAGAACTCTACCAGGTTGTTGATAATGTTCATCTCTGTTTGATGGGGTTATGGGTATTGTTTTTCTTTGAACTTCTCGGAATTTTCCAAATTTTCCTCAATGAGAATGTTGTCATTCAAGGGAAATGTTATTTGAAATAGCTAATCCTATCATCTATGTGTACCATATGTCAGTCTTGCAAGATTTCAGCATTATATTTATTCCCAGTACTGACTGTGAGGAAGACACAGGTAGTTGTTCTTCAGCTAGATGCAAAGTGAACAATAAATTTATTACAGTAAGATGAGCTTTGAGCTGCTTAAAAGATATAAGGGGTATCTTATAGTTTTATCTACTTACAATTCTCATTCTTGTCGACCTTTAAAAAACAAAAATAAAAAGCAAAACAAACAAAAACCTTATCTATGGTGGGTGGGGAGAACCTACTTAAATACTCAGGTCTAAACAAGATCTAAGGAACAGAATAATATTGATACATTTTTTTCCCCATCCCCTCCCTCCAAAACCTCACCTCTCCACTGAATTCTGAGTTAATTAGCTATCAGGGGATAAAGATCTGTGTTGTTTCATTCTGGGTTGAATAAAGTAGGTGTGATTTCAGTTCCTGCCTGGGGGCTCTATCAGATCCTCTAACCTTTTTCTTCCTTCCAGCTCCTTAACCTCTTATTTCTTCTAATTGTGCCCTCCTTTTTTCCTGCATGTCTCATCTTCAGCACATAAAACAATGCCAAGCATATTAGGAACTCAATACATGGTGGAGAGCTGATAGACAAGTGGGTGTATGGATAGCAAGGCTCATTATAGAGTGTTCTGTTTGTTTGTTATTTTTGGTGTTTAAAATTATTAGTTAATTAATCTTGAAAAAGAGTTTTCCAGTTTTCCAAGGACGAAATTTGGGTTTGAAGGTGAGATGTCGTCTTTGCAACCCTTAACAGCTAAGACATAGAACCCCTAGTGTCAACTTGATGTATCAACTTGATGCTAGTTTCCAGTAAGACTTATTCAAAATGGGAAATAAATTAGTGTAAATACTGCTACATATAGGGTCGCCTCCACTGTTTGCTGAGTGTATGAGATTGACCATAATGCTATGGAAATGGAATGTACAGAACAAATACTTTGTGTGCTACAGAATCCTAAAGGTGATATAGGACATACCAGCTAGTATCAGTGTTTATGAGTTCTGTTTATAACGCTTGTTTTTAGTTAAATCATAAGAATGGAGGGAAAACAGACACATACCATGAAAAGAGTAAACAATATGCAGACCTGAGTTTCTATCACCTTTGTGTAACTGTCATATGAAATTCAGAAACCTTTAGGAAATTCCAAAGTCTGTGTCTGAGCCTTCGTTTCCTCATTTGCAATATGAGAGAAATCATTTTACTTTTCTCCTTAGATTGGTTGCTATGAGAATAATTAATAGATGCTCGATAAATATTAGTTGACTCTGATTCTAAGTCTGGATTCACATTTAAAGAAAATCCTTCAGCCTGGATAAGAAGCATTTCAGGTAGGCAGTAAATAAGCTGTGATTTGGAAAGAAAGAACAAAAAAGTTATTTCAGGTCCAGGATGACATGACCACTCAAAACCTAGAGAAAGTGGACATGTAAACTGAGTAGACTTTTTTTTTGTTGGTCATGTTTTTCCAGGTGAGCTGGCATTGGAAGAACTTAACGGAGCTGGATCAGCTCTGGATGCTCAAATGTTTACGGTTTAACTGGTGCATCAGTTTTTCTCCAACGCCCTTTGAGCAGGGTATATGGAAGAAGCACTACATTCAAATGGTGAAAGAACTTCATGTTACCAAGCCTAAGGTAAATTTGGGGCACAAAGCAACAAATGTACAAACATCAGCTCTTTAGGAATTCTAGAACTAAGACTAAATGATCACACTGGAATTTGGGACAGGGAGTTGGTTCAAAGAAGTCTAGTATGACTTCCAAATTCTCCTTTTTTGAGAACTTGACAGCCCATTCAAGATATCCATGTTATCTGAGAGCCCTCATCCGACACTCCCAAATCATAGTTCCACCCAGGAGGTTAGGACTGGCATTTCTCACTCAGCCCAGGTCCTGGATTTTTGTGTGTCTGACTCCCACGCCAGACAATTCTGACACTGGGACTCTGTGGTAATGCTTATAGTATTTGTTATGTATGGACCATCACATTTTACTTTACTAATTCAAATTGCTATGATTCGTCCAGGTGACCTGAAATTTATTTTTTGTTATTTGTAAGGAAAAGTTTTCTAGTATATCAAGAAGTAAGCAGGGCCAGCCAAGTGGCTCAGTTGGTTAAGAGCTCGCCCAAGAGTTTGAGCTCTGAGCAACAGCGGTTCGAGTCCAGCCCAAGCTGAGCAGCCGCTGAGCTGCCAACAGGTAGCAGGATGGCTCAG